CTAAAATCCCTGCCCACAGGACAGGGACCTTATGATCTAATTGGATGTGCTATCCAATGTGACAGCCCCAAACTAACAGATATATATCAAAGTACATGGAGGCACGTGGAGGAAGGATTCAGTGTTGAAGTTTAGTGGAGTCCTGAGAGAATCCAGTAAATTAACTCTATTTCCCATGCAAAAATGGTTTATATGTGGAGAGGCAGGAAGAGGAAGCCCTGATTGTGAGAGCAAGGCATCCACAAGCCAGCAGGGGAAAGGTGTCAGGAGCAGTGCCACCTGTCTGGGAGGGAGGAAGAGGTTTGAGGGCATCAATACACATGCCCTCACGAAGAGCCACATGGCATTTGTTCCATAACTCTGGATCTGGGTGGTGGCAAAAGGAAAGTACACTCAGAGGTGAGCAGAGCATTAGGTGGAAGCTTGCTGAGTCTGATTGGAGAGAAGGAGGGTGGCCCTGGGCTAGATATCAGCATGTAGCCCCTAAGTGCTAGGCTGGCTGCTGTTCTTGTGAAGTTAGTTAACCTTGGTTTGGGGTGTTGTTAGCCTTTCGCGTCTTGCTTCTCTCCTGTGTCCCACTCTATCAGATACTGTGACATCATCTCTGTTTCATCCATGCTTGAAACTTTTAACACTAAGGTATAAATTGACTGTTAACAACTCAGAGAAATAGAACTGTACCCCAACTTGTGTGGTACTCTCTCCTGTCTTGGCACACATGGAAGTTACATCTTCCTTTCTTATCAGTTTTGACTTCATGATTATTTTTCTTCTTCAAAATAATAGTCTGATAATAGCTAAAACTTACACAGAATTGCTACGGATATTGAAACTCATTTACCATCCTGGGGATAGAATGTTTCTTTCACTCTATTTGTAGTCATGAGAAACACCACAGGGGTGGAGTTCTAATATAATTTCAGATGATAAATACTTATGAAGAAAATATTTTATGTGCAGAACTCTTTTGAGAGCCTCTATAATCCAGTCTCTACTTCACCTATGTATAGTGTTTGGCAAATAAAAGTCACTTAGATAAATAATTACATGGGTTGTTTCCTAGCAACTATATCATCAAAGCATTCTCTTTCTTATCAAAGGGTGTCAGTGGCTATAGACTAGACCAGCTGCAGCATTGAAACAGAAATTAGAGTCTTAATAGACGATGCAGATGCATGGAGCCCAGAGTTGGACAGGACTTCTCTGTGCTCATTTGAAACTTGGCTCATTCTGTGGTTTCTCTGTCACAGATTTTGGGGTGGGAGAGAGCTCCCACACAGAAAGCCATGCATGCTGACATGGAAACCGAGTCAAACCTTGGCTGGGCTAGGAGTCACTGCTATTTTAGTCACTTCCAGATGTCTGCTGTTGGAGTTTTAAGGAAAAGAGAAAAATGTGAGGAGTGTGGTGGGCCGGCTGGGTGGAAGGGGAGAGTGTTCCTCTCGTAAGCTTTTCAACTCCTGTTTAAAGCCACCCCTCAAGATGGATTGGATAAAGCTTTTAAAAATTATGCTCATCAATATTACCTCTTTCATTTATACTTGACTGCATATGAAGCAACAGGCAAACTGAAGAAGCCTTTGTCAAATTATCAGGATTCCAAAAAGTTGCAGGCCCCTTGCAACTTTGGATGTGATCTAACATTTATGAAGTGCCAGTCACTGAACATATGTTGATGGTGCATACACCAGATGAGCCAGCTGCCCCAGTGGCTATTGTGCTAACCTAACAAGCTCACCAGCTGCTTGCTGGATAGCTCCTTTCTCCTTTCATGTTATTTTGGAGGCATCATTATGAATTAGAAAAAGATGTAAAGGTTGTAATGTTTATGAACAGAGAGATGAGGTCCTCTGAAATCTTTTCAAAAGGAGCACTGGGGCCTTTTCCAAGAGATCCTGGCACCTCCAGGAACCAATCCTGGGATATAGGTCACAAGTTCCTGCGGAGTTGGTAGGGTTTCCTTATATTTTTGTTTAACTGGGAATGTATGGCACTGGCATGATACAAGGTCTGGTAGGCAAAGGAAGCACAGGAGGAGTATAGCACAGTGGTTAAGAATATAGGATTTGTATTGGACAGACCCAGTTCAAGTTCACACTCTGTCACCTACTAGCTATGGGAACTTGGACAAGTTACTGAGATGGGCAGGGAGGTGTGTGTGCGTGTGTGTGTGTGTGTGTGTTGTTATAAATAACACTCCTCCCTGTCCAACCAGGTTGTGTGCTAACCAGAGATAAGCTAAAGGTGGAGGTCAACATGCCACCTTTATTCTTATTAAAGCAGATATTAAGGAACGTGGTATCTTTTTATGGGCAAGTGGGCGTCCCAGTCTAGGCCAGGCCAGGCCAGGCCTCCCTCTACAGGGACAGAGCACAGCCTGTGCTCTTGCAGGGGGAGGAGGAGCAGTGGCCTACATCATGCCCGTTTGCTCCTGCATGCCCTTCTCTCAGATGGTTTCTCCTCCCTGGGGCTAGCATGAAGCAATGGAGAGGGGCTGGGAGCATTACATTTCTGGGTTTCTGCACATGGGAGAACTCATCAAGAGTTGAGGAAAACTATTTCCCCTGGCAGTAGTGACTTCCTTGGGTTTTTGTGAGGATTCTGTGAAATGAAGTCAGGGTTTAAGCACATGCAAAGTGCTCAACAAAACGTATTGATTGATGTTATTACTGCAACCATTATCACCATTGTCAGGACTGTAGCATGGAAATGAGGTAAGAGTCAGTTGCAGGAAATAATTATAAAATGAATGCCTTATAGTTATGGAAAAAACGAAACAGTTCAGGATATCTTTAAACTACACAAGGAGCCAAGTGCCAGTACTTACCAGGGTCTGTTATTCCCTGGGGACAAGAGGGCCAGTTTGAAGGTTCTGGACAGGGCATTGGATTTAAAATAGCTGAGAGGAAGCAGAGACCTTACCTAGATGAATGTGAAAGAAGATGTCATGGCCCAGCCGGTGTGGCTCATTGGTTGACGTCGGCTCATGAGACAGGAGGTCATGGTTCGATTCCCGGTCAGGGCACATGCCCAGGTTGCAGGCTTGATCCCCAGTGGGGGAGAGGGGGCAGGAGGCAGCTAATTGATGATTCTCTATCATTATTGATGTTTCTTTCTCTTTCTCCCTCTCCCTTTCTTTCTCTGAAATCAATAAAAACATATATATGGCATGGAACCAGATGCAGGGAACTCTTCCTGATGATTATTGTCCTGAGATTTCTGGGTCTTGGGCAGTTGGCCAGTTCAGGTCTATTTGGTATCCTTTTCTAGCTTAGACATGAGGTTAGCTCACTTGCTTTCTCTACTTGGGGTTTCTACTAGTTGTTTAGCCTCACATTTTCTCTGGGGTTTGGAGTTATCTTTTCTTGAGCTGAAAAATGCAGATACAGGCAGATATGGTGCAGGGAACCACTTTGGTTTTGAGCTATACCCGTCCCGTCCCATCCTGATCCTACTTAAGCCCAGGAGCTCTTCTGAGATTTTTCTGGAATTCCCCGCCCCTGCTAATTCTCACAGAGTATTAAAAAATAAATTTTCTGCAGATTTTGGGAGCAATAGTTTTTTGGTTTTTTTTTCAGATTTCAGGTGGCTTCTGATTTGAACTAGTCATAATCTTTTTTAAGGCAATTCTCTAAATTACTTCTCTTAATTCTTCCCTTGGAAATTAGCATCTAGGACATTTCCTCTTCTTCCTCCTCCTCTCACCCCTCCGCCTCCCATTTCCTCTCCTCCTTTCTTCAACAGTGGGCTTCAAAGTGCTTGGCTTGGTATAAATGATGTTAAAGTCAGCCAGTTTAATTTTTTCAGGTTCAAGGGTGACTCACTTGACCTCAAGAGGAAGCCCCACATTGGCAAGTTAATGTCTCCTCGCTTTATATAGCACAGTCATTTTAAGTGATTGCCTGGGAGATAAACGCAGACAGAAGCTCAGGAAGTGGATATATAGTAACACAGAAACAATGCTTCCATGCAGAGAGTGAGAAAGCACAGTAAGAGAAGGAGAGAAAGATGGAAGGACTATAAAGGAAGCAGCCTCAGAATATGCCCATGTTCTGTGTATGTCCCCCTCAGGTGACTTGGGGAAATGGTGATTCTAACCCCACTGGGTAATTTTTGGAAGAGATAAACATGCTGGTTATGGGAGGTTATGGGATGTAATAGTCTTGATGAATAGAAGGTTGTGCAGATCACTTCACCTGTTCCTCATGCAAGCTAAGACACAGCTCTCGGGGGTAGGAGAACCAGTCTGACTGTGGCTCAGGCGACTGGAAGTGGAACCTGCCATCACAATTGGAGGAAGCATGTTTCACACCCTCCCCCAAATATCAAGCAAGTTCTTAAAATTATAAATCTGATGACACCATAAACTTTTTATTGAATTTATTGGGGTGACGTTGGTTAATAAACTTATATAGGTTTCAGGTGTACACTTCAATAATGCATCATCTGTATAGTATATTGTGTGTTCACCACCCCAAGTCAAGTCTCTTTCCATCACCATTTATCCCCCTTTACCTTCTTCTACCTCCCCCATCCCCTTCCCTCTGGTAATCAGCATGCTGTTGTCTGTCTCCATGAGGTTTTTTTGTTTTGTGTTGTGGTTGCTTAAATCCCTTCATCTTTATCACCCCGCCCTACAATGCCCCTCCCTTCTGACAGCTGTCAATCTGTTATCTCTCTGTGAGTCTCTTTCCTTTTGTTTTGATGTTCTAATCAATGGGCATTTCATGGTAATGGCTCCACAGCTGAGCAAACCTGTACTTGATTAAAAATTGGGTCTATTTAGAAGTCACTGAATTTCAAGTAAACCAAGTAACTGCCAATCAATGTGGCAGCTGAAACATTCACTCTCTGAAGCAAAACAATGGGGCTCATGTCAGAGACATCTCCCAAGTTTGAAAATTAATGTCATTTTGTCATTCCTTTTAAAAATCCATCTTTCTTTTCCTTTGAGTTTCTCTTCATGGCATCTGCTAAGTGGCTTTGTTGTTGGATTTTAGGGCCTGGCGCAGTATTCCGTGCTCTTTTATGGCTATTACGACAATCAGCGAACAATTGGATGGATGAATTTCAGGATGCCACTCTCCTACTTCCTGGTGGGGATCAGCTGCATTGGATACAGCTTTGTGGTTGTCCTTAAAGCGTAAGTTTCATTGGGCTCTTGGGATGCAGGCAATGATTTCTGGAATTAAACTGGAGAATGGATGTAATTTTTTTTCTGTTTTACATTTGCAGTGGTTCTCAACCTTCCTAATGCTGTGACACTTTAATACAGTTCCTCATGTTGTGGTGACCCCCAACCATAAAATTATTTTTGTTGCTACTTCATAACTGTAATTTTGCTACTGTTATGAATCATAATGTAAATATCTGATATGCAGGGTGTATTTTCATTGTTCACGACCCACAGGTTGAGAACCACTGAAGAGGATGCAGTCTATGAGATAAAATGTCGTTCTAGTACCGATGCTAATGTTAGATTATTATATCCTCCAAACAAAAGGATTGAACATGACTGCGGCCTTTGGGTCATCTCACTGCATACCCGTCCTGTGTTTAAGCATATTTTTAAAATGTGCCTTTTTGTACTTGGACATGTGAATCAATGTTGCAAACAAGACAGGGAAACAGCTGCTGACCCCTCGTTCTGTGTAAAGAGGTTTGTGACTTGCAGAACCAGTTCAATAGGCAGAAACGGTTGTTCTCTGTTCTTTTTTTAAAGCCAGTATAATCACTCATCCAAAAAATTGCAGCTACATAAGGTGGCAAAAACAAATGGCCCCCATGAGACCATCACGATCAACAGTATCATCATGGTTTGTCTTAGAAAAGGATTTATTAGAGCAAGAGGAAGAATTTTATAGGGAACTGATGAAACAACAATTTTTTCCTCTGACTGAAATGCATAGGGTGGGGGTAAAGTAGGTTTACAGTTGTATGTATGGAAAATAATGCAATGATAAATAAATAATAATACAATAATAAACATGGTGTGTCGTGTACTCACAACTGTGAACCTCCCCCACCCCCCCCCACCCCCGTATTTGTAATACTCTGCAGAAACCTAGCACAGTTGTTTGGGGCTATGAGCAGCCTGCCCTTCAGCCAGTTCTCTGCTCTAGCTTAGGAGAAAAAGAGAGACACCTCAGTTAATGTCCCTACCCTTTTAGTTGACTCTGCACAGGGAGAACTGACCATTTGCTTCACTTCAGGGAAGGGCCTTGTCTGAGGGTCCAAGTCTATGACACACTTTGGGTCTTGTCCCTGTCACAATGACTGGTTCCACCAAAGAACACTGTCATACTTAGTTTTTAAGCCTCTTCATGACATGATGAAAGCCTTCATGGAGACCCCACATCCAAAATATTTATCTACTGCCCAAGTGTAATCAGAGATCTTAAATACCTAGTATTAGTTATCTATCTACCTAATACAGTATTATTACATTCCAAAAATCTAAGATATTTCTAGTCTTTACCATATATTTTTTTTTACTTTAATATATATATTGACTTCAAAGAGGAAGGGAGAGGGAAATAGAGATAGAAACATCAATGATGAGAGAGAATCACTGATTGGCTGCCTCCCGCACACCCCCCATTTTGATTTGGCAAGACTAAAGTCAGAGTGCTAGTCACATTAGAGAGACCTCATGCGGATCATTTATGAGTTGGTCCTTCAATGTCCTTAGTCACTGGGCAAGCAAGTTTGTGTATGTCCAGTTACGCAGCTCTTTTCAGTGATTCTGCAGTGGCTGTGAATCCCCAGCTGATCTGCATGGATGCAAATCCCAGCTCTACCATGGACTAAAAGACCCTTACAACTTACACAAATGTTCTGTTCTCTAGTTTCCCTCTTAAAAGAGTTGTAATAACACCTTGGTCTTAGGATGGCCATGAGGACTAAATGAGCTAATACATGAAATGAGTTAATACTGAGAACATGTCTGGCTGGTGGTAAATAATAACTGTCGATAATTTTGTTAGGATTATAACCCATTGGATTATTGAAGAATCAAATGTAACCCCAATGACAGAGCAGTCGCATAGGTTTATGCAGTTGCACATTAATGGATTTGTGTATTCATTACAATAATTTTCTAGTTGGTGAATTTTAAGATTATAGAACAGCATTGTGCAAAGAAATACAAGATGAACCACACATCTCACTTAAAATTTTCTAGGAGCCGTATTAATTTACACAGGTAAATTAATTTAATTTAGAAATACTTTATTGATTTTTTTGAGAGAGAGGAGGGAAGATAGAGAAACATCAAATTAATGAATTTTAATAATATATTTTATTCAATATAGCAAATGCATTAACATATAATTAAAATAATATTATTATTGAGGATTTTTTTGGTACTGTCTTTGAAGTCTTGTCTGTATTTTATATTATCACATTTCAAGCATTCAGTGACCACATGTTGCTGGTGGTGACCATATTGGATAATGCCAACCTAGAGGAAATGGCAGTTTTTCCTAACTAGCTTGAAGATGACATTTAGCATAGTTGCAGGGCACAAAATCCACATTTTCTCTCTTAAAGTCATTCATATTATGCTGATGAAACCAACCTGGTTTTGGTCCCTCCCTCTAGCATGGACCTTTGGTTGTTTGTTACCTGATTGGCCAGTGGTTTAAACTCATTATTATGTATTGCAAAACAATTACAAAGCAATTCATAACTCCCACCCACTCCTAGCTTTGGGAACAAGGCTTGGTAGAAAGAGAATTAATGAGATATAAGTGATTGTACAAAATCATTTATCATTGCCTCCCCTCATCCCCACCCCGAAATAATATATTATTGGAATAAACATCGGTGACTTTATGAGTTACATTATTCAAATCAAATAGAAGGGAATCTAGATTTTAAAATCAATTTGTCTATGGATGGACTTCAACATCTTGCCCATACTGTTTGTCTAGGCATCCTCATCTATAAAATGGTGGCCAATATCTAATTTTAATTATTTAATAGGGAAATTGGAAGGTAATATGATATGGAAATCCAAGAAAGTTCTTTGAGGTTTTAAGACAGGGTGACTAACTTTATTGACTCAGGACTCTCCCTCTTTTAGCACTGAAGTCCTGTGCCCTGGAAACCCATTCAGTCCCTGGCAAACCAAGATGGTTGATCACTATTGTCTTAGTTCCTTCCTTTTTTCCTTCCTTTTTTCCTTTTTTCCTTCCTTCCTTCCTTCCTTCCTTCCTTCCTTCCTTCCTTCCTTCCTTCCTTCCTTCTTCTTTCCTTCTTATGAGTTGGTCCTTCAATGTCCTTAGTCACTGGACATTCCTTCCTTCCTTCTGAGGCAGTGTACATTACTAACCACTTACTAAGCTTAGAAATATTCATAGTCAAAAGTTACATATGTATTAAAAGCAAATTAATACAGCATAATGTAAAGTTGCATAACATGGAGACCATTAGCCCCTTCATATGTTGTCTTCATCTCTTCGAAGTTTTGTATCACAAAGTAAAGGTGCTGTAATTTCAATATCTAATTGTTCCTATTAAAAACAGTTCTTTGAGCTAAAAATTTTGGCATATCCAGAGCAGCAAACTACTGGAAATAACTGAGTCATTAAGGGCAGGCATGCCTTACTGAGCTGGCTCTTGCTGTCTGTTTTATCCCAACAGGCGTTCCCAAGACTTTCACCTGTTGTAGGGTTCATTGAGATTAGATATACCTCTTTTTCTGTTTATGAGACTAGCCATAATAGACTAAGCCAGGGGTCCTCAAACTACGGCCCGTGGGCCACATGCAAATACAAATATTGTATTTGTTCCCATTTTGTTTTTTTACTTCAAAATAAGATATGTGCAGTGTGCATAGGAATTTGTTCATAGTTTTTTTTTAAACTATAGTCAGGCCCTCCAATGGTCTGAGGGACAGTGAACTGGCCCCCTGTTTAAAAAGTTTGAGGACCCCTGGACTAAGCTAACAAGCAGAGCATTGAATACCTACATAATGTGCACATATAAGCCTCAAATAGTGTTAAAAATTTTGTCCACATAGACTATCCTCTATATATTAAAAACCTACATATACCATAAACCAGCTTCAATACATGCATATAAATATTTTTAAATTAGGAAAAGAGAGAATATATTTATCTATTAACCCTTAAACATTACAAAGTAGGTAATAGTTTAATTATTTTCAGATGATAAAATAATATTAGACATACCCAGTGACCTACCTACAGCTACTTGACTGTAAGATCTATTTGAACCAAATTATATTTGGTTATTTTTTCATAACACATTAGCCCATTTAAAATAGATAAACTTTCATAAGGGGTGGGGACATTGGGGGAATTTAGATGATCTTAGAGATGCCTGTCAACCTATGATGTCACTTTTATATCATATTGCTTCTTCTTTTTGGGTTCCATAATCACTGTCATATTTAAAAAACCAAAGCCTTATAGGACCATTTTTTTAATATGTATCATATGAAATTTCAGTTTTGCTATTTTTAGTGATTAGGGGAAAAAGGAAGTGGAATATGTATAATACAGTTCTCTAACTACTGAAATAAATGTGCAAGTAAGTGCATTTAAACTTTCCAATCCAAAAAAATATTTTTTAAATCACTGAGTAGAATATGTGCAACTACTGTCTTGATTTTTGATCAAGAGTTGCAGAGTAATGCGGAAATGTCATGCATTTGGTGCAATCACTTTTTTGGAGGACATTCTAGGGAGAATTGAAATATATGCAGTGATTTCCTGACCTGACCTGGCTTCATCCATCTTGAGCCTTCAGGGGGTCTGGGAACCATTGAAGTTGTGTAGAACAGTGTCAGAGCCTACCCATATTTTCTTTTCCTGGGAGGGACCCGATGGTTTCCTTCAGATTTCTATAGAGAGCCTTCTCCCACAAAAGGTTAAGAGCCAAGTATATGAGCTAAGAAAACAGTTTAGGAAAACAAATAAAAATATGTATTTTTATATAACCTGTTTAATTTTTAAAATCATCAAGTCTTTTAATCTTGAAAGCCTGACAAATGCACAGTGTAAAAACTTAAAAACAAAATTTAAAAATAAACTTCTATTTTCTGGTTGTTTAAAAAAAAGTGTTTGAAAATATGTCTTTTAGCTATTGCTTCTCCAATTAACCTATACTTATGTTGTTTTAACATTCCCTTTATTCTCCCCCTTTTTGTGTATTCTGGTTGCTGGATTAAACTTCCTGTTTTTATAGAATGACCCAAAATATTGGTGACGATGGGGGTGGTGATGACAACACCTTCAACTTCAGCTGGAAGGTGTTCACCAGCTGGGACTACCTGATCGGCAATCCGGAAACAGCAGACAACAAATTCAATTCTATCACAATGAACTTTAAGGTAAAGATGGCCACCTTCCAGAGTCTTTTCTTTGTATTTCTAATATATGTATTTTTTATTCATTTCAGAGAGGAAGAGAGAGATAGAAACATCAACGATGAGAGAAACTCATTGATTGGCTGTTTCCTGCATGCCCACTACTGGGACCGAGTCTGCAACCCAGACATATGCCCTTGACCGGAATAGAACCTGGGACTCTTCAGTCCACCGGCCAATGCTCTATCCACTGAGTCAAACTGCCTAGGGCTTTTCTTTATATTTGTCAGAGTAAAATGGAAGCAATTCCATATGTTCCAGCTAACAAAGTATCTTGACAATTAAAAGAAAGATTAACTCATCATTTCTGCCTACTGGGACTTGGGCAGAGTTCTGATTATGACTGGAAAATATCTGATGACCCACAGCAGCACTATCTCTTCTCTACATTTATTATTAAAATAATGCCATTGGCTTAAAATAGAGGACCATTAGTAATCAGAATCAGATATTTTATATAACAGAATAATGCTCAATATTTAAGATGGCTTTGAAGTATTTTGTAGCTTTTAGAAAACTGTACTGGAAGAGAATTTAGAATGAAGACTATCCTATTAGAGTGGCTAGAGATGGTTTGTAAGAATTCCTCCTTTCTCTCACTTGTTCTCACTTACTGGCAATATTCACTGGTTTGTGAAATCCCAGATTTGGTTATTTTCACATTTTACATTCTGATGTAAGAAAAATTAATTCCTGAGTTCATGATACTTGTGTAGCTCAGATATTTCTCTTTTTCCTGGTTTTAGGAAGCCATAATTGAAGAAAGAGCGGCCCAAGTAGAAGAAAACGTCCATTTGATCAGATTCCTGAGGTTTCTCGCTAACTTCTTCGTGTTTCTAACACTTGCCGGGAGTGGATATCTCATCTTTTGGGCTGTGAAGAGATCCCAGGAATTTGCGCAGCAAGATCCTGACACCCTTGGGTGGTGGGAAAAAAATGAAGTTCGTCTCTGCATGCTTTTATGTGCTTAGAACCTGACACTTGAGATTTTGTGGGTTATGCTTCTATGGCAGAACATTAAATAAGGCCACTCTCTACCTCTTTCCTCCATCTGCCTGTGAGTTAGCCAACCCTGTCCCACATTTTCCACTCTGTCCCAGCCTTATTTGCAAAGCTGTCTACTGGTTGTCCTTCATTTTGGGACATCCTGGCACATTACAGTTGGGAGAGATGTTAGCACACATGTATTCCAACCAGTATAGTTTACAAGAAGATGAGGACTCTCAGATTAGGTGATGTGTTCGTGGTCACAGAACTATGGAGAAAAGTGAGTTAAAACCTAGGATTCTTGGTTTCAAGCCCCACACTCTTTTCATGAACTTATGCTGATTTCTCTGTAGATCCTGCATCTGTAACTGAAAGATCCATCTGTTGCCTGAATTCTCTGAAGCAGTGATGATAGAGCCTTGGTTCCTGTGTTTATCTCATGGACACATTCAGATTGCCTCCCCCCCTTTGGGCAAGTCTGGGCTTCTCGCTCTTTTTCACTAGCAGCCTAACTCCCTAGCTCCCTTTTCTCCTCCTAGCCTGCCTTCCTCCCCCTCTGACTGCTATTCAAATTAGGAAGGTTAACTCTTTGCCAGGCATTAAATAAGATTGTCATTTTCCCCCCAGCATATCTGCCCATTCAGCAGGTCAGAGAAGGGAGGTCAGAGGTTGATATTTAAAATCAGGAAATCATTGATCATATATTGTTGCTAAGGCCTATTCTCTTTAATAAAATGTTCCAGCATGCAATGTGGCACCATTTAGAACTTAGGCATTTTCAAAGTTTGGGTAGATTTAGTCTGTGGGACTAAATCTATACTTTAGTCTATACTTCCCACACTGAAATTTCTGCAGAGCCTTATAGACCAAAAAGGTTAAGTCTTCACAGTATAGAATCTCCTTAAACATGTTGGGACAGAAAATGGTATTAGCTACAACAAAAACTAAGAAACAAAAGCATTCTATATTTAGCAATGGTAACATTGGAGATGGAAGGCCATTCCTTTAAGAGACTATAAAAACACAGACATTTCATGGAAACCTGTGAAACAGTTATTTGGTGGAGATATTTCATTTACTTAAATAAATTTCAAAGCCTTTACTAAATTTGCTGTCAACATTCTTTCTTATAGTTGTGATAATATTTATAGGCACAATTATCATGCCACTTTAGTCTATGGTTCATATTGACTGTATTTTTGTATAAATGAACCACAGTAAAGGATGGGTAGTTGATTGTCAATCATGAAAAGGGTCACTCTTTGTAAGAACCAGTTTAATACCCATTTTAGGAGATCCCTGAGTCCTAGGAGCCAACAAAGGTAATAATGGGGAGTTATGCATAACTATAAATTTGATAAAACAGAATTAAATTTACCTTATATAAGATTGTATAAGATCTGCCAAGTTTTTCCTTTAGGCTGAAATGATATCATGCTGAATTTATGTTATGCTGATTTTTAGCTCCTGTTGGTCATGCATACATAACGTTCTTAATAAAAATGGAAAAAGCATATTGACAATTATTTTCTAAATATAGTCTAGTACTTCTAATCAAAATATGGAATCCACAAAGGGAAATAGGAAATGTTTAATGGTGGCAGTTTGAGCCAGGTATTTAGGAAGGACAGTTGCTAATGTTACCTGAAATGTTACCAGAAATCCTTTTTTTTTTTTTTTTTTTTTTAGTTTAAAGAAGGCTTTGCTTCCACCATAAAAGTAGTAATTGCTCTGGATTTTTTTCCTTTGACTTAATTTAGCCAAATAATATAATCGTAAGGATGCCAGTCAGTCAGGAGAGAAGGACCACACATTTCCTACTTGTCCTATTTCTCTCCTCCACCCCCAACCCCCCTCTCTCTCATTATTCTCTTGCTTTTGGCATCATGAACCAGTCATCCTTTTGAAACTGTCTGGCCTTGGCTTCAGTGACTTCAATAACATCATACTATATGTTCTTCTTTTGTTTCCCTGAATGTCCTCTGTGGTTTTTTTTTTTTTTTTTTTTTTTTTTGATAAAGCACTTCTTCTTTTGCTCCTAACAATTTGCATGTCCCTGAATTCAATGTTTAGTCCTGAGCCCATCTCAAGGAAGTCATTCATTCTAACTAATTAAACTAACTCAGATGCTGATGATTGTCAAGTTATTATTTCTAATTTGGATCTCATTCTTCAAGCAGATCATTTTCCATTGCCTTTGGAAATATGTTGTGTAGTGTGTATCATCATATCAGAATCAGTTACCATACAGAACAATACGGGTTCTTTGGGTAGTGAGTGATGTAAATTGCATCCCTCATTATACCAGGAAACACTGTTATTACTGGCACATATACAAGCTCATATACATCCAAATCTTGAGACTGTGAGTTGATATTGACTTTGATGTTTTTTATTAAGATTAAATTTTAAAAATGCACGAGATAATCTTCTTTAGTCTAATAAAAGATCAAAGGTATCTAGCTGGAACTTTGCAAAGGTCTGGAGGAAAGCAATAATAATTTCTAAATACTATTAACCCAGTTTATCCCTTGTGTCTCCTTGTAGATGAACATGGTCATGTCCCTCCTGGGGATGTTCTGTCCAACATTGTTTGACTTGTTTGCTGAATTGGAAGACTACCATCCCCTCATTGCTCTAAAATGGCTACTGATACGCATTTTTGCTCTTCTTTTGGGCAACTTGTATGTATTTATTCTTGCCTTGTTGGATGAGATCAACAACAAGGTAAATCGTGTGTCTGGATTGCCATCAGCATGTTGTTACATTCCCAGTCTCAAGACTGCCAGACATGCATTTGATATCTGTGTTATGTTCACTTTTGTTGGTATTGCTTGCTTTCTAGATTGAAGAGGAAAAGCTAGTAAGGGTCAATATTACCTTGTGGGAAGCCAACATGATCAAGGCCTACAATGCAACACTCACTGGAAATAGCACTGGGGCACCCTTTTACGTGCACCCTGCAGATGTACCTCGAGGACCCTGCTGGGAAACAATGGTGGGGCAGGTAATATCACAAACAGAAGTGCATGACAATTAATGGATTAAAAAAGAGCAGAGTCAATAGTTCTTCCATAAGTGTGGCCTAATTTTTTATTGCTTAAACTAATAAAATACAGCTAAGATTTATTGAATGCTTACCATGTGCTGGCTGTGAATTTCATATACATTATCTCATGCATGCCTCACATCTATTCATTTAGGGAAGTTCTCCTTTTATACCCCTTTTACAGTTGCACGTAACAGAAGGATTGTTTTCAAGCAGTGAGTTGTTTACTACCTTTTGGTGTTCTAATAAAGCAGATTGTTGTTTTAATTTATAGTACTGTGGGGCTTAAGTATTTTCCAATGTTTTAATTGACTGTGTATTTTCTCCTGAGGATTTCTTGTTCGCAACATTTGCCAATTCTTTTCCTAATTGGATCACCCATCTATTGTCATACTGATTTGTAAAAGTTTTCATGTGTTAGAAAAATGAATCTTCTATCATCTATGCTGCAGGTGCTTTTTCCAAGTTTGTCTTTAAAATTTATAAATATTGCTGTTTGCCAGATTAAATTTTATACTTCCACATGGCCAATATTTTCCTATTTTGGGATATTGTGTGATGCTTATAAAAATTTCTCAGTAATAAGTCTTTTAATACAGTGATTTTGGAACAGAAAATAATTATTTTTAGACAAATAAAATAAGAGTGAAACATTCTTCATTTGCTAGACATGCCTAACTAGTTTCTTTACCATTAATTGCAGTTTTCATGCTCATACTGTTTAGAAACATGACAAATTCGCTGTCAACACTAGGACCATTTAAAGACAAAAATGCAAATTGTAATGCAGATAATATCTCCACAGGAATTTGTGCGGCTGACTGTTTCTGATGTTTTGACCACTTATGTCACAATCCTTATTGGGGACTTTCTCCGGGCATGTTTTGTAAGATTTTGCAATTACTGCTGGTGCTGGGATTTAGAATATGGATATGTAAGTATGATACTCACGTTCTCTTATCAGATTATTCTTTTGTGGTTCATGGTTTACACACACTATGCAAGAAGAAGATATCTCAGGATTTAGAGGGTAGAATCTACTTTTTATTATTTATTTTATTTTTTAAATATATTTGTATTGATTTCATAGAGGAAGGGAAAGGGAGAGAGAAATAGAAATATCAATGATGAGAGAGAATCATTGATCAGCTGCCTCCTACACGATCCCTATGGGGATCGAGCCAGTAACCCCGGGCATGTGCCCTTCACTGGAATTGAACCTGGGATCCTTCAGTCCGCAGGTCGATGCTCTATCCACTGAGCAAAACCAGCCAGGGGGGATTTACTTTTTAGATGTCAATACAGTAGTTCCCCCTTATCTGCAGAGAATACATTCCAAGACCTCCAGTGAATGCCTGAAACCACAGATAGTACCGAACTTA